TACTTGTTATTGGTTGGGATATGTGATCACGTCGGGATATTTGATCACGTCGGGCTCACCAATTTAGGATTTGTCCTGGTGCGAACTTGACAGACGCAAAGACCAATCACTAATTATTCGAACTTGTTATATACCCACGAATACGAGACCAAGGAAGAACACGATAGCGTAGTCGGATGGAATAGTATATTTGGATGGTTATGCCAAAATACCGATGCGTTCCAACTAACTGGCTAGAGAGTCGAATACGAGCAATGCAACGTAACACGACAGCGTGCCAAATGGCGAGGATGCTTGACCGGGTGCCTTCAGCTTAGCGAGTCCAGTTAAACTATCAAGGTCAGCATCAATGTCGAAAGTCGTCAAACCCTAGGCTATTGATTTTGGGAAGTGTATTACGCTACAGTCTCTCCCTACTGAAAGGGAAACATTATATTTTAGGCAAGGTCATGGGAGAATTTCCCCCATACTTTATCGCACTTTTGGTTCATTGATGAATTTTGACAGATCGTCACATAATACTCCAGAGAAATGTAGATGAATTATTATTTGGTTCCTACGCATTTTATAGGACAGTCATAAGCATCATAAACTGTTTTCACTCTAGCTCAAGTAGATTTTCGAGAAAAAGGCCAATTAGGATGTAAATCATAGGAATAAAACAACGCTAACTAGTGTGCTTACGCCACGGTAACCTGAGGTCTCAGTCCATCTTCATTGAAGATTGAGTGTAAATAGCGGGATTTATAAGTGTAGTCTGACGTTGATGTTCATTTGTAAGCCCTAGTTGTTTTAGTTCTGTTGGTAGTACAGTTATGCCTTTTGGAATGAGCAACACCATATGAGAAGTCCTTATTCTCATTTGCAGGCTTAGTCCTCTCAAATGTGTTCTGAGATGAGGAACTTGTTAGTCATTAATAATAATTGCACGAACTATTAGGCCAAGTGAAGCTACACCTTAAAAAAACATTAGAAAAAAACGTCTGTGTATTTTTTTTTTACCTTGTTTACTTTCCGTATTTCCTTTTCTTTGACGTGAAAGTCTGTCTTAGCTGTTAAAAAGTCAACTACTAAAGTTTCTTGTGATTGAGCCCTTTGGAGTAGCCTTTTCTGAGGCTTACTTATAAGTTGATAGAAACGTATTAATGCATTCAGATGCACCGGGTTACTTGAAGCAGGTACTCTTGCTGGTAGTAATGGGTTGTTGTAATCCTATCTACACTAGTACTACATTCACAAGACCTTTCTACTCAGTTTTTCGGGACATTTGATAATTTGGTATGCTGGTCTCAACTGATCCAGTCGATTATATCCGGATTCTGGTTGAAAGAATTGTCCTAGTTAAACCCTATGCATATTTCCATCATACAGACGATACCCTGAGAGTGGTGTTTTAATATCCCTAAACTTCCCTAGTCCTATACCTTCAGTCATCGCGTTTTTTTTAGAAACAGCTCATTTCTAAGCCATACACACAGGCTGTGACAAATATCTTGGCATCGTTGATTCGAAAAGTACCAGTAGTGACCAAGTGCTAATCAAGCCTTTTGCATTTGCCTGGAGAGTTTGCAGACCTCCATATTTAGTGTAATTCCTGGATAAAATAGCTAACGCGTTCAACCACCTAAATTACTACGCTATGAATAAAATGCAGTCAACGCGACCCCCATTTCGCCGATAAGTATTCTCAATTTGCAAATCTCATTTCGTCACATTTTCTGAGCTAAAGACAACCAGTACTCGTAAGAAGTGTCTACTGTCATGTCTATTCCTTTTCGAACTTGTTATAGATGCAGCAAAAAGTAACTGCTTATCCCTAAATTCTGAGACTGGTTTGCCCGTTAAAAAAATTCGATCTACTCACAGTGAGTAAAAGTCCCACGACTCAGATGAGCACTACATGTACTACTGTACTAATTGTTTCTATTTCAGTATCGTTCACTCTGCCTCTTCAACGTTGGCTCACTTTACAAAGCAAAGATTAAAATGAAACCTAAGAGCTAAGACGCTATGAAGGACAACTTAAGCAACGTTTCCGTAAGCCATTTTAAGATTGAAACCAATAATCTATCCAGAGAACCTACTAGATTGTCCAAGAAAGCATTAATGACTAGGTGTCTTATCACCCAATGTACTTTAGAGAATGTATACCTGGCGACTGCGACTATCATCGAAGTATTACTACGCTACTGAAATACCGGCTGTATTTGTACTTCGCAGACTCCAAACGCGGAAAACTGGTTTGCGAGGAACACACTAGGTTTTTCCTATATTGTTGATGCATTGATCACGTGTTTGCCCTCAGTCAGATACTTGAACGCGGTCATACTGCAGACCAGCAAGACCACTTCCTAATACTTGGAATATCTTCTATCCACTCAACAGTACTTTTAGGAATTTTTTATTGGAGAGAATTGTCTATGTGGATGTTGTAAATCTTCTGAAAAAATGCGCAAAGGTAACTCAGGTAAATTTAGAGCATTTTAACACCTCTGCTCATTGTTCCAAATCAAAGTTGAGGTTAGGCGGTTTCTCGATTTCTTTATTCTACTCCAACTTTTCCATTGATGACTTTCTGAAGACAGTTTTGGAGAGGCTCTTTGCTGGTGCACATGTTATTAGAAAAGACGTTTTAACCGTCTGCAAGATTGGCAAGGATCCTTCTCCATAGACCTATGAATTTATATTTTCCAAAATAGTCAAAAACATCCGTGTTTGGGTATTTGTTTGGATACTGTTGATAAGATTGGTAATACCTCCAAACATGGATGAAAAGCCAAAGCCAAATATGCAAACCTGGGTCATTTTGGGTGCCTTGGCAACGTCGGTGTAACCAGTAAAGGTCGGGTGTACAATGCATAGTTGTATGCATTTCTTCCTTATGCCTGTAGTACTTGATGTTTTAAGCTAGGATGTTCAAGGACTCTGTGTTCTATCACCACTGTCTCCATAAAGTATATTGCATCCCGTAAGTAATTTTGAGACATAACATCGCTTGTTTGCATTTGATAGAAATCACTCAGAGAATGAGGTCAGTATCACGTTGCAGCTTGGCTACCCTTAAACTTTCTTCAGCTGAACCGCACTTCACCTTACACCACGCGACGATCACTGTCTGTCTGACGGTTACTAGGCATGTGTATCATAGTTTATGACCTTACCAGCTGTCTTACTTCTTTTCGCTTTGACTATATACCAAACCACCTCGTTGCTGAAGGAGTGGTTCCTCACCATTCTTATGCTGATTCGTAGACAGTGGCTGTCGGACATCACGAGCCTTTTCACTCCATCCACGCGTAATGCCCATGCTTTACAAAAACATGGTAGAACGGAATCCATTTCTTGCATTACACTCGACTATTAGGTGGTCGGATTTGTTTTTCGTAATACAGGTGGGGTAAGTTAACAAACGCTAAACGAGTATTCTATATCTATCCCGAAATACTGTCTATCAGTGAATCATCAGGATTGATCTCACTTCCCATGTAAATGAGGTGGTCAACGTGCTCAACCACTTCACTCCTTATTGTGTGGCAAGGTATCATCTCAACTTGTGTTGAAGCAACAGTTCACATTCGGATGGTGACGAACATGTCCCAACCATCCTTGAATTACCACTCCGGCTGTCCATAGGATTTCGCATCTTATCAGCATCTTCGCCTAACAGAACTGTATCATCTGCGTACTCTAGATCTACTAAGGAGTTTCCTGAAACAAGATCGAGCCCTGTACAGTGAGACAAGGACAGGAGAACCTCCACGAGTGCATCTACGACAAAATTAAATGAGAACGGAAAAAGTAAATATCACTAAACTTGCACAACTCAACTGATACATCACTATATAATCTAGCAAGTTCGTGAGTGTTTACGTGAAGAGCCTCCAACAGAGTAATGTACGTGCTCATATCCCTCTCAATGAGTGACGTTGTCGTAAGATCTATCGACTGACTGAATCGAATGCTGCCTTTAGGTCAAGAAATACAGCTAGTATTGGGTGGTCTAGTCGATATACCTGCATTTAGGTCCATAATCGGACTAGTTTCTCCGGGTTTGTTGTTCTTAAGTTTTTGTGAGGTGTCTGATGCTTATAGAACCTAAAATCATAGACGCTACATTTACCGCCTGGATAGCCATGTAGTTATTAAGGAAGAAGTTTCCTCCTTTTTTAAGACGTGCAATAATTGATTGAATCCAGTCAGAGTAGGGTCGTATCTGAATTCCATTCGTCAGCTAACACTACAGTCAGTGTAATCACTACCCATAGTCGTTGCATAGATTCTGTCAGCCTACATTTGAGCTACTTCTTATCATACTGCTCATAACCTTCAGGAATGTTCTTGTGCATACATTAATTCAGAAAAAGCTAGCAAAATGCACTGGTGGACTGTTTACGGCAGACTAGGGGAGGCATTAGGTTTCTTCAAAATGAGTGAGATTATCATGTTCTTTCATTCAAGTGAGGTCCTTAAAGTTTCACCGACGTGTTTTTCTTACTGTCCTAACCTTCATTCTTGTGTACTGAAGTTAGCATGTTTCATGGAGTGAGTTAAAGGCTTTCTGAACGGTAATTGCATCCGCTTGACATTCATTTCGAATTAGATATCCTATGTGAGAGAACTGTGAGGTAGATATGAGATTGTATTTATAAAGTTAGCCTCTTCTACGGATGAGCATTTAATTTTGCAACGCGAAACTTCATGTTGTTTTGATTTGATCATCTATATTTTTAGGATCATCATAAAGTTTTACCTCCACCATATGAAATGGATAAGTGTTCAAGCTAAATATCCAGGTTTGGGCAAGGTATAAATGAAATGCTGGCGATTTCTTCTGTCTCAGCAAGACATCCAAATGAACCGGAAAACCAACAGGATAAATCTAACTCATTGAAGCACCAGATACACAACAAGCAACTGATCTCTAATTCTCCCACCCCTGAACTTGATAACGTTACTCAAGCACCCAACCACAGTTTTCAATATCACCACAGGCCTTTAATATGTTTTTGGTCAGGTCTATTGAAAAAATCGCTAACGAACGGGAAACCCGCAAATCTCAAAATCTGTCCGTCAAGAAAGCGTGCGAGGAAGCTCTTGCCTTATTAAAAGACCAACCACAGGTGTTAGCTAACAGTAATCTTCCACCAGCTAATGAATCTAGTACACACTTGCCTCCACTAAAGTCAGATTGTGGTATACTGTTGAGTGATGAAAGACTTCTTCGTCCCTTTCAACTAGCATGCACAATGAAGTCACCGAAAATCGTTAGTACAGCAGTTGATTCATTACAAAAGTTAATTGCCTACGGTCATATTTCGAACACAGCTGTTTGCTCTTCTGGAAAAGTTCGCATAATCGAGCAGGTTGTTACGACAATTTGTTCATGTTTCCAGGTAAGGTTTTTAATTTTACATAATTTACCAAACAAAATGAGGTAGTGAAACAATTCATTTCTGATGCATCACATTTGCGATAAAGACGGGCTTTCACCGTACCATTCTTCACAGTATTATAAATCATGCACATTTCCCATCAATAATAGTAGTTGCTAAATGCTTATGATGGTGTCTTGTCTAACAGAACTTGTTATTTCACCATTTAGTATCTGCACTTTATAGTCTACAGTCAAAAGTAGTAAGTTAGTTTTTAGGCGTAAACAACATACCCAGCAATACTACTTTCCTACCATCAACAGCAGAAGCCGTTAGAGGGTCAGCTGTTTTTTTACAACGGTTGACAAACTGCAATGGATACTCTTGTGGCAAAGGGAAGATGGATCTACCAGACGATGAATATATAGGAAGCCTACTTGGACAAGACAATATTTAAGTTTCTACAGCTTTTGTCCAATAAAATGTAAGAGGGGGTTAGTAAGATGCCTGTTCAATAGAATCCAACGTAACTGTACATCTGATACGATGGATGATGAGAAGAAATTTCTGACAGACACTCTAATAGAAACGGATATCCATTACAGTTTGTCAACCGTTGTAAAAAAACAGCTGACCCCGAAGCCTATAGTTTCCTTGGTCCCGAAGAAAGACATATTTCTTAATGTACCATACAGGGGGGAAACGAGTAGTATGATATTGAAGCAGAGATTAAAATCTGTTATCAGCAAAATATACTATGCAGCTCAGCTTATCATTGTTGAGAAGACAAAACACCAGCTTCTCCACAAACCTCAACCTCGCATAAACGATTATGTCACTACTGTGTTTACCAATTTACATATATGTGTGGGCACACATACATAGGGAGAAGTAATCGTTCACTGCAGGCTAGGGTGGGTGGACACATACCTAAGCGGATTGAAAAGCAATTTAACACACAAACATTGATAAGTGCAGGTGATAGACATCCATCGTCATCTACAGTGAAACATATTGAAATGAATCACAAGATTAATACGAAACAGCCTTCAAGATACAGGAATAATCAGGAGCGCATACTGAAGTTTGCCGAAGCGTTAGCTATTCGTAAGCCTAATCCCCTGCTGTGCGTACAAAAACAACTTGTTGTTTCACTTAATTTACCTTGCTAATCCTTATCTGATTACATTACCGAGACTAGTGTCACAAGCTTTTCATATTCATTATATTTGACCTTTCATTTTCATATATAAGTTGACTTGACAAGTAAATGTGTGATCAGATTGTTCGAAATGTATTGCACAAATACATCACATTTTCCAGATAATCTTCGTCTTCTAATAGCGTCGTCGAAACTAATCATAACTGTTGTAACAGACAGCATCTTTATATGCTTATTCTTTTGCTTTTTTGTAATATATAGGACTTTATTTAAATGACCTAAATACCCAGTCATGAGTTCTAGTCTTTTCACAATCGATGTAGCTCATATATTTGCAGAGGTATATTTATATATATATATATAAATTCTGATATATGCCTTTCTGTTACTTTCCCAGTAACCTCGGAGAACGTATATATTAAAATATCTTAACCCAATTTCTTTTTGTCCTATACAGGGTGTACAAACTGATGATGGGATTCAGCTACAAATTTTAAAGGCACTCCTAACTGTTATAACAAGTTCGGTAGTTGAAATTCATGAAGCTGATATCCTTCTGGTTGTAAGAACTTGTTATAACATTTTTATGGCTACGAAAAATCAGATCAATCAAGCAACAGCTCGTGCAACACTCACACAAATTATTAGTGTATTATTTCAACGGATGGAACAAAATGCATTTGAAGCAGCAGTTGCAATGAGTTCACACTTTTGCACCACTCTTGACTCTAACCTGGACAACAACCGAGACAAAGGTAAACGGTTATCTACTGACAACTTATCACAAATATCATCGGAAAACAAAGGGGATTTTCAAATAGTAAGTATGGATTTTTTTGGCATCATTGAAATCCTTTAGCATTTTTCTGCGAAAGGTTTGTCAAAATCAAGTTACCTACTTCTATTGCATTTTCTCATTTCGTTTACATTCAACAAGGGTTGTTCTGCACTGGCAAATTGGTTACTGCATAGTATGCAGAACAATGCTGTAGTTATATTAGGTAACTCAAATATACTGAGTGATAAATGAAATGTGAATACAAAACAAAGTGACACAAGTTTATTAGACTGCACTTGGTAACAAGTACATAAAGCCAGTCGTATGAAAGCGGGTCAGATAATAGAAACCATTTTCTGCAGCTTTGCGCAGATTGCATCCTATTTCTAGCCAACTTCTTGATTGGACATTGCCGTTATACTACCTGGCATTCTCCTCTGCCACTCAAGTTTGAACACAAGTAGATTACATCGAACTAAGCTACCATTGCCGTGGATGTATTTTGAACTGTCGCTTCTTCTGGAGCACTTGTCTGGACTGTTATCATGCTTTAATATGTGCTAAGCTCATTTCGCATTTCGAGAGTCATCAAAATAGTCGTCCGAAACACATCGACATGAGAAAACTTTCTGCACATAATGTAGCAACTAATTACTAAACTGATCTAGATTCTTAGCTAGCTGTCGAGCCTCCAGAAAGCATAGATAAGCGTTGGCTGCACGTACAACATGCATGAAAATGGCGAGTAAAGCTGTTTTTGGCTTCGAAGAACGTCCCGCTAATAAATACTGGGTCTACGTCAGCTTCCTGTAATTTCTTGACGCTTGTCGGTGTATTCCAGCAGATAGAAATTACAATGGGATGCTCGTATCCCCTACGCAACAGATCAAACAGCATATGTTTAAGGACTGTGAGGTGTAGTAGTAACATCATATGAGTGAGATGGAAGCAGCAGCTGCATCTGGCAATAATCCGAAGCTGTTCTAGCTCACTCGATCCAGTTGCAGCGAGAAGCCTGGTGTCAGTGAAACAATCTATGAAGCAGATGACACTTGGATCACCGAATTTTACAGACGTCTGGAACGCGGATGTTTGTGGGGAACTTCAAGTTCGAAATTGCCATATGGCACCCAAGCCAGATAACCTACCATCGGCTCTTTTTGAGGGTAGAGGTGAAACTGTAGTCAGGGATAGACTCCTCTTTTGAGAAGGTATGTTGGACTGAGAGAGTTTAGTCACTCTAAAATAAATTCATTGTTGGGGCATTCTTTAAAGACGGCTTACGTAATGTACGTGATAATCGTCAAGGTATCAGTTTGCTACCGGTAGCGCTTAACGAACTGGCTGCTATCATACTTCGCACGCTATGTATTACGCCTGAGAAAACAATCTGGAAGGCCAGATAGGGTTTCATTTAGGTATTGAATGCACTGGTCACATGTTTACCCTCCATCAGATGCTCAAATACTGTAGGTCAATAATCATGTTTCAAATTAGATCACTATTATCTGGCTTCCAGAATCTATAGATGAGCGTGAGTGGTTTCTGACTACTCGTGTTGTCTATCAGCATATTTCGTTTGTCATTGTGTTCCTTGATGTTTGGGCTCCCTTTCATGCTTTGAACAAGACGTCACTCTAGAGCTGTGTGTTACAGATGGGTTTTCGTAACAAGTTTGTTAACATCTTGGTGCCCATATACCAAAACACTTCAGGTAGAGCTATGGCGTACAACCGCCTCTCCACTGTTTAAAAGTAGCAGTGGGATCAAGTTTGTCTGTTTGATGTCTCCATCCCTCCTTAACTTTGCCATCAATGGCATCCTAGAGACGAATGTGAAGTAGATGTGTAGTGGCGGTGTAATTCTGTTACCTGGTACAACACTGGTGGACTTTGAGCATGAGGACAGGACACTTAAATCTCACTTGCTCAGTTGGCGACCAGCATCCGTATGTGTGGTATATGCTTTGCCCAGTTGATGTGAGAAATGACTTTGATAGAATCTGCAGGAGCATGTACTTGTATTGACCTTTAACAGTGAGCCGTTGGAAGTTGTCCTAAAGTTCATGCATCTTGGTAGTTGTGCGAATGGTGGTGGCATATGGGAATCTGGGTCACCTATGGCACTGCTGTGATTTCAGTCTGATTCGCGTAACATCGATTTTGGGGGTCCTAGAAATGGAGAAATGGTAAGAGTTCACTGTTGTCGACGAAGTAAAATTGCTGAAAACTTACGTCGCTGTTCCAGGTACACTATGATCTTTTCATTTTTCAACAGAATAAACGTTCTTTTTTCTAGTCCTGCTTGTATCTCACGATGTTTGTTTCCATTGCTTTTCTCTACATCCAAAGTTCTTAAGTCTGGTATAACAGATTTTGTGATATGGGCAACGAGGTATTTTGTGCAAAGAAATATACTTTTACTAATAAAGTCTTTTCATCACCTGAAAGGCATCAATAACATATTATCTGAGCACTACTTTTAAAAATCCTGATAACGATCGGAAAAATGGTTAGTTTATGATACTTCATCTGTGAAATAAAAGGATTTTCGTGTTGACTTCGCAATATGTGGATAGAGCTTGAGAAATTATATAACAGACATCCTAAAAGTTAGATACAGCTAATGATTAGACCTGCTGAGAATTGTTCTGCGACTTTCTTTTTCCTAACAAATAGAATTCAAATCAAACTATAATTTGGTTCAATGTATCTCTATATTTTGCTTTCACTCTTTCCAATTACTATTTGCTATATCTTCATCGCTTCCTGTTATTTTGCGTTTTGTTAAGAAAAATATATGACTTGAAACGTTCACGACTCTAAACATATCGACATATATGTTTTTTATCTTTACTCTAAATGTAGGGAGAAAATCATAGTGACGAAAAGTTATTGAATGGTGATGCCCATGACAAAACTTATGTTTCTTCAGACAGTGTGATTGATGGCGATGACGCTGGTATACCTACGAGAAAAGAATACACTAATTTCGAACTAAAAGTATGTAAAATTGTTAAAGATATTTTGGAAGAAATAATCGAAAAAGTTGCGTTGGATAATCATAATTATGATAATGAAAGAGATCATTCATCTGTATCCGTTCAACTGCCAAACTCTGAATCTTTATCTGATATGCGGAAGTCCTCTGTACATTCTTCGTCTCGTTCTTCTTCCTCACTTTCTGTTTCAGTGAGTACGAATGTAAACCAAGAATGGCCGGCTGGTGTTACTCCTACAGGTATTGACGTTACTGCAGCCGAGTCTGATTTAAAAGAGCGTAATGCTGTATCGTTAATAGATAATAATTCCGAGGTTGTCACTTCAGCGCATATCACACAAAAAGATGCATTTCTTGTTTTTCGCAGTTTATGTCGTTTAGCAGTCAAAGATTTTACGAGTTCTGATTCAAATGATACAAAGTCGCATGCAGTCCGGTCGAAATCTTTATCTTTGCAGCTATTACTCAACTTACTACAACAACCTGGTCCATTATTTTCAACAAGTGAAATATTTATTGCTGCTATTAAACAATATCTATGTGTTGCTTTATTTAAAAATGGTACCTCACCAATTGTAGAAGTATTCGAGTTGTCTGTTGCTATTTTTCTTGCCCTTTTGACACATTTCAAGCCACATTTAAAACGCCAGATTGAAGTATTCTTCAAAGATGTTCTTCTATTCATCTTAGAGTCACCAAAGTCATCCTATGGACATAAACTGATTGTCATTGATGCATTGAAACGTATATGTGGTGATGCCCAATGCTTAGTTGATATTTACCTTAATTATGATTGTGATCTAAGCATGGCTAACATATTTGAACGATTGACAACAAACCTAGCTAAAATCGCTCAGGGACGTCATTCAACAACAGAACATGGTAATCATAATACGTCGTCATCGTCAAACCAGCAGCATCAACAACAACAAGTTCTACGATCAAGTGGTTTGGAATGTTTAGTGCTGATTTTACGTTGCATGACTGAATGGTCACAGGAGCTTTATATTAATCCGGAATCTCAATCTTTTTTGGGTTCTGAACCACCAGTTTTGACTAATGGTGGTAATAGTATTAACTCAATGGAGAATTCTACTCTGGATGCTAATTCTAATATGAATTTGTTGGGTGAGTTATTTACAAGAAAACGTTTAATTCTTACTATTCATTATGTAGAAAAAACCCTGATTTAAGCGTTTTAATATCTGAGTTCCAGGCACCTGGTTTCAAGGGTTCACATTCCCGCATACTTTTCCAGTTTAAACAGTATTTGCATAATGTAGTGTAATAAGAAGACAGAGGTTATCTGAGAAATGTGATCTTCTCGCACAATACATGTCGAACCATCTGATCACACATTTACTTGTCAAGGCATTTCATATGAAGGATGAAATAGGGTGGGGTAATATAAATAAATTAAGATAATACTAGATTTGATAATGGATGATGACTGAAGGTGAAATGAAAATGTGCACCTTTGCCGGAGGCAAACCACCAACAACCGGGTTTTTGGCCAGATGCCCTACCAATTGAGTTACGAGGTCCACCAGTCTGCCGAACCACGACTATCTCAGATAGTCAAAATGATAATACGAAATTCGGAAAATATAAGGACAATAAGAAAGAATAATAGATTTTCACCTCCCTTGGCATTAAAATGAGATAAAGACTACCAAGGTAGGTCTAAGGTAAGGACAAATTGTTTTTGAATACACAGAGGAGGTTTGAACTTTCGTATAGCTAAGGTTTCAATAAACCTAGGTATATGGTCTTGACGGCTCCTCTACAAAGGTCTAAAGGCTGTTTTGAGGTCAATCCTGTGACCTGTTCCTATAATGTGTTCAACTATCGGGGATGACGTCTTTCTGTCCCTTATACTTATCAGGTTATTTGAATGTAATTGTTTTTCTAGCCATGCTTCACCACCTGTGACTTCATAGTTCGATTACTACTCCAAATGTATGGGTCGATGGAAAGATCATTGTCAAAAAAACATACATGGATCGAACAATACCTTACTTTTCATAGCTACTGTCCAATACAGTATATATGAGGTTAAGTAAAATGTTTATTCAAAAGGACTCAACTTATCTGCACAACGAATAAACTTATTAACAGTGGCACTCATGGAAAACGGATATCCTTTAAAGTTCATCAATCGTTATAAAAGCTTTTCAACGGTCTGAACTAATCAGTATTCTGTCCGCTACTATATAAGGGGGGGGGGGGAATCAAACAGTATGATCTGAGGACTAAGGCTTAATTCAGTTATTAAAAAGACATACTATGCCACCAAGCTTTATATTATAAAGCAAACAAAACCTATATTTCAAAACAAACATCACCATAAATAGTTACGTCACATCCTGCTGAGTACACCAATTTGCATGTGTATGTAGTGACACATACGTTGGGGGGAGTAATCGAGCTATAAAGTCACAGGTGGTGAAGCATGGCTAGAAAAACAATTACATTCAAATAACCTGATAAGTATAAGGGACAGAAAGACGTCATCCCCGATAGTTGAACACATTATAGGAACAGGTCACAGGATTGACCTCAAAACAGCCTTTAGACCTTTGTAGAGGAGCCGTCAAGACCATATACCTAGGTTTATTGAAACCTTAGCTATACGAAAGTTCAAACCTCCTCTGTGTATTCAAAAACAATTTGTCCTTACCTTAGACCTACCTTGGTAGTCTTTATCTCATTTTAATGCCAAGGGAGGTGAAAATCTATTATTCTTTCTTATTGTCCTTATAACCTCGCCTGGTTAACTAGTTTACTAGTTACTAGCCGGTCCTAAGCCCGGGTAAAGAGGGAAGGTTGGGCATAGGGCTAGCAACCCTACCCCGTAAAACAAATCTAACCGCTAAAGAAACTTCAAAGCACAAACAAAATATAAAAAATGAAAACAAACTTATTCCCCGCTGGAATCGGAGAGGCGAAATGACGCCAGTTGGTGAAAGCCTTCGGGAAGCCAATTGGCCGATGTGTCTTCTCTCGATGAAAGCGAAAGTAAGGGTGGGGACATGGAATGTCCGCACGATGTTTGAACCCAGTAAGGCAGCCCAGATTGCAAAGGAGATGAGAAGGTATAACATCGAAGTGCTTGGGATTTGCGAAAGCAGATGGAATGGGAGTGGACTCTCCAAACTGTCAACTGGAGAATCAATAATCTACTCCGGTCACCCAGACGCCAACCACGAGCACACTGAGGGAGTGGCTATCATGATGTCCTCAAGAGCATCGAAGGCTCTCATGCAGTGGGAACCAATCTCCTCCAGGATCATGACAGCAAGATTCAACTCAAAAGGAAGAAAGGTCACAATCATACAATGTTATGCACCTACAAATAATGCAGAGCAAGAGAAAAAGGAGGATTTCTACAGACAACTTCAATCAACACTGGACAAGACGTCAGTTGGCGATATCAAAATTCTAATGGGCGACATGAATGCCAAACTGGGAGGGGACAACACAGGAAGAGAACTAACCATGGGTCGAGAGGCGCTAGGTGAAATGAATGAGAATGGAGAATTGTTTGCAGAATTCTGTGCATTCAACGATTTGGTGATTGGAGGCAGTGTGTTCAGGCACAAGGATATCCACAAAGCGACATGGACTTCACCAGATGGACACACTAAAAATCAAATCGACTTTATCTCAATCTCAAGAAAATGGAGACGCAGTCTACTTAACACAAGGTCAAGAAGAGGAGCAGATGTAGGTTCAGACCACTATCTAGTGCAAGGAACCTTCCAAATCAAGTTAAAAGCCTTCAAGGAAGCTGGTGATAGACCTCAATTCAAGTACAACACTCGGAAACTGAAGGATGAAACTACAAAGGAGATCTTCAAGGCAGCCATCAAGACAAAATGGGAGACATCGAGGGACATCCCTGAAGAAACCTGTGTGGAAGAACACTGGAAGTCTTTGAAAGCTATGTGGAAAGAAACCTGCACAGCCGTATTAGGAAGGAAGAAGAAAGAAGACAAGGAATGGATCTCGACGGATACCTGGAAGCTGATAGAGGAGAGGAGGATGGTGAAGCAGAAGATAAACCAGTGCAAGGATGCTCAACGACAAGAGGAACTGAGCACAATGTATAAAACACTGGACAAAGAAGTGAAGAAGAGTGCACGCAAAGACAAAAGACACTTCTACGAAACACTGGCAAGTGAAGCAGAACAGGCTGCAGGTAAGAGAGACCTGACGACATTGTATCAAATAACCAGGTTGCTATCAGGGAAGAGACCAACACAGATGAAACCAATAAAAGATGAAGAAGGAAATTTAATTACAAAAGAAGAGAAACAGAGGAAACGATGGGCCGACCACTTCAAGAAGCTCTTGAATCGACCACCACCTGCACTTCGTCCAGAAATACCACCTGCAGCCGCTGAATTACAAGTGAACATAAATCCCCCAACGAAAATGGAAGTCCTGAACGCCATAAAGCTACTGAAATGTGGGAAAGCAGCAGGACCAGATGGAATACCGCCAGAAGCACTGAGAACAGATGCAGAGACAACAGCGGACATGCTCACACCACTATTGCAGAAGGTGTGGAAGGAAGAGAAGGTACCTGACGATTGGAAGAAGGGTTACCTTGTCAAACTGCCGAAGAAGGGAGACCTCAGTGCTTGCAAGAACTGGCGCGGAATCACTCTCCTGTCCACCCCAAGTAAAATATTAAGCCGCATCATCCTGGAGAGGCTTAAAGACGCACTGGATTCAAAACTGCGACCGGAACAGGCAGGCTTCAGGAAGTACAAATCATGTGCAGACCAAATTGCAACGCTTCGTATCATCATAGAACAGAGCGTAGAATGGCAATCAGCTCTATACCTCAACTTCATCGACTTTGAGAAGGCCTTTGACAGCGTCGACCGAGAAGTAATTTGGAAACTGCTTCAATACTACGGAGTACCGCAAACCTTTATCCGCCTCATTCAACAACTATATGAAGATGCCACATGCCAAGTAATCCACAATGGGAAGCTCAGTGATGCCTTTGAAGTGAAGACAGGAGTGAAACAAGGTTGCCTACTATCCCCCATGATATTCCTTATTGTGGTGGACTGGATCATGCAGCAAACAGTAGGCAGCGAGAAGAGGGGGATACACTGGACGACGGAAAAGAACCTAGAAGACTTGGATTTCGCCGATGACTTGTGCCTAATGTCACATAAACTTGAAGATCTGCAGGCAAAAACTAACAAGTTGACAGAAGAGGCAGCCAAGACGGGACTTCAGGTGAATATAGAGAAGACAGAAGTGATGAAGATACCGCACCACCACCATCAACAACAACAACAAACTCCAATCACCGTCAACGGGAGAAACTTGAAGGAAGTAACCTCCTTCACTTATCTAGGAAGCACTGTTTCAACTACAGGCGGGACGGACGAGGACGTCAAAGTCAGAATCGGAAAAGCAAGACAGGCGTTCATTAGCCTGAAACCAGTGTGGAGATCTTCTGCACTCAGCATGCGGAACAAGATACGGATTTTCAACACCAACGTCAAGTCAGTGCTCTTGTATGGCTCAGAGACTTGGCGCGTCACGAAAGGTATTTCCAATAAACTACAGACATTCATCAACAACTGCTTACGCTCGCTGCTGAAGATCAGATGGCCAGAAAAAATAAGCAACAAGGAACTCTGGGAACGAACCAACCAAGAACCTATCACGCAACAAATATGCAGGAAGAAGTGGAGATGGATTGGCCATGCACTGAGAAGGCCGACTGAGGACATCACGCGTCAGGCCCTCGAGTGGAATCCCCATGGGAAGCGACGAGTTGGACGTCCGAGGGTGACATGGAGGAGGTCATGCGAGGAGGAAATGAGAGCTTCTGGGCTGTCGTGGAACCAGGTTCAAAAGATCTCAGAGAACAGAGGTCACTGGAGGCGTGCTACTGAAGCCCTATGTTCCACTAGGAACCCAAGGGACTAATAATAATAATAAAATTGTCCTTATATTTTCCGAATTTCGTATTATCATTTTGACTATCTGAGATAGTCGTGGTTCGGCAGACTGGTGGACCTCGTAACTCAATTGGTAGGGCATCTGGCCAAAAACCCGGTTGTTGGTGGTTTGCCTCCGGCAAAGGTGCACATTTTCATTTCACCTTCAGTCATCATCCATTATCAAATCTAGTATTATCTTAATTTATTTATATTACCCCACCCTATTTTCATCCTTCATATGAAATGCCTTGACAAGTAAATGTGTGATCAGATGGTTCGACATGTATTGTGCGAGAAGATCACATTTCTCAGATAACCTCTGTCTTCTTACTACACTATTCAAATTCATCTAAGGGACCAATTATTTTCAAAAGTATTGTTAGCCAGTAACAGCATAGGTGATTTCGTTTGTTTACTTATGCACATACAGTATTTGGTCAGAGAACTGAGGATTTCAGTTTGACGTCACAGTTAATTAGTGGTGATTCCTCATGATTGTTAAATGATGGAGTGTGTTCTTTACGCACTGAACGGGATCATATACTCCAAAGTCATTCATACATAACGACTGAACTGTAGTAAAATTCATCTGTCAGCAATTTGCTGTTCCAAATCATCCTTCGAAAAACTAAGGTATTCATAAACATAAAAGCATTAATGTGTTTTTCTTTTAGCATAGCAGTCACGCTCGCATTCAGTTATTGTCAGAAACGACTAGTTATTTATCTTGAGAAATACAATTATTTCCCGAGAAAACCTACTGCGTAACATATTTAATCAGCGTCATTATTAGTTCAATAAATCGACCTACTAACAACTGGAGTCATTAGATCGCCTTATCAGTTTTATGATGACTGTTTCAAATGTCACATATTTGAAGTCTGTCGTTGTTGATTTTCCTAGCGGCTAGTAAATTCTTTGACTCTTGTCGTCTGTTATTTTGGTCATGGCGTCTGAGGTGTGCAACCACTTGACATTTTCGTTGTGCGCTTCGTGACAACATACTTTCAAGTGCATAATCAGGTAACTCTGTACATGTTTATGCACTGGGCTTTGAGTCATATTTGTTGTGTGGGGTTTCTGACGTTGGAGTGGGTAAAGAGGGGTTCAAAACCAGGAGCCATTACTTGAAATCCAAGTTGCTAAGCTGAAAAGCCAAATCTGTTTGACTCTGACGTTCGTGCTCGGACTAGCATATCACAATAACCCAATAAGCTATGCTAATGGGAACATTTATCCATTGAGGTTCTATCATACCAAAAAGGTCTGTTGCATAGAGGTAAGACTAAAGGAGTCATCATAATGTAAACAGCTTGCACTATGATGATGGGGTAGGTTCGCGGGCGAAGTTAGTTGGATTAGAGTGTGAGGACAGCGAACCTGTTCCTGTGGAAAACCGGTAGTACATGCTGAGAAGGGAAGGGCAGTTAGAAAACGTCGACCACAGCTTACGGTATTTTTGTGCCAGTAGTATCTTTTCCACCTGGATTCATCATAACTGAGGTTAAATCGCAAGCTTCAAAGAAGGGCAGCCGAGAAACGTCAAAAGCCTTCATAACTCTGTTAGCAGTCAACTTAGTTCGAATTACTATCAACCTTCAACATCTGTCTTCAAATCTTTTTTCATGTCTCTCGGTCAATAATTTCTTCGTCATCGTAGCTCTTGATAACTAGTTAATTTCAGATAACAGCATTACTGGTATGATCAGAACCTCAATGAATAAGTGTTCCCACCAGCATAGCTCATTGGGTTATTGTGAGATACTAGTCCGACCTCTACTTTCTGTCAGTATCCGTTGATTGGATGTCCTACTAAATGAATGTGTTAGCTGGAAAATAGCGTGACACTTGTCAGTACCTATTCGTAAGTTTTCCCTTCTCCGGGGGCTGTACCACAAAGTAAAATGTCTAGAAATGGTAATTTACTCAACTAAGGAAACTGAGGTAATCAGAGAGAAGATATCTACAGAATAATACTAACGAACCCACAGCGGTGATCGTCTCTTAAAATTTCATCCAGATAACCAATTATTTCTGGAAAGACACTCTTTTAACAGGTCCCCACCATCATCAAATCAGCTGTAGACACAGATCATATTGATGTAGGCCATCCTTCCTCTGATCGGTGGAGAATAACCGTTGTTTTTGGAGTACCGAATTGGACTTCGATCACACCTTAGTACGGACATGTGCGTGCTTGCACGTTGATGAGTGCCAGGTTCTATATTGATTTGCCTGCCTTTCATAACACATTATTCGACGAAATAACGAAGTTTTGTTGTTTGACCGATGCGTCTGTATTCTAGACACAAATTTCTACACACTTGGTTCAGTCTTAGTTACCTTTCTTCACTCTTGGAAATCAGGTTGATACTACTTCACTTGAAACACCTAGTTCAGATTCATCAGTAAAAAACTTGTGCGTGGCTAATGAGTTGCTCAAAGTATTCGTTATTAGGTTGATTCCCTTTAATTCAAAAGTTTGTGTTTATCTCCATTGGTCTTCTGCGATTTCTACGTCTCTTGAGACTTTACAACACATTTTCGGTCACTTTTTCACTATGAAGTCTAGCACATCATTGTTTTAAAGTGTGTTGTTGTATATGTTACCATGTATGCATATTGTTTAATCAAAGATAAATATTTGTTAACAACAGTAACGCTTTATAATGGTCATTTAGTAATGTGAAATAGTTCGAGAATTTTCTTCGGAAAAAATTGTAAAAGGCGATATCATATACATAATTGATTATTTTAAAACTGATTTTGACATTATCCTTCACAGAAGTCTTCTCTGACGAAAATTCCCGCACTATTTGATATTAACATTTGACTGTTATAAAAAAATACCTCACTTTTGTTAACATATATTTATTCTTTGATTAAACAATATAGATACATAATCATAGGACCTGAAGAAGCTTTCAAAAAGAATATTCTTTGTTCACTGAATTGTGTTTTAATTATAATGGGAATTTTCAAAGAAACTAAAAACAAGACAAAATAAGCCGAAAGTGAGTGTTTTTTCTGTCACTCTGAACTGATAATGATCGGGCTCAAAATTCATCTGCATATATGGGTTTCGATCAGATAACCTGATGAATAATCAGCCACTACTAACGGAGCGAGTTTATGGACCGGATTGGAAATTTCATGGAGGTTCAAATTCCCTGAAGCGGGTTTTGTTAAAAAATAATTAGATTTTTGACATTTTAAGTCGAATTATTAAAAAAATAGCTATATTTCTCAACAGTTATTTTTAACAGTAGATCATTTTGCTATTAAAAAAACTAGTGTTCTAGATATTGAGATTAATACCAAAGTGTACTCACATTCAAGAGTAGTTATCTATGTCAGATGTCAAATACTTGTGAAGCTGTCTTATGAGTAGAGTTATATTTAAGCAAACAACTTTAAGCGTCAATGACTAATCACTAAAGTAGTAGGTATATTTCTTGTGTGCAGCCAATTCATTTATGTCAAGGTATCTTGTTGGCTGTAGTAAGTGTAAAATAATCCTAGACAGCTTTACCAAGATATAGCAGACAGTGGCTAGTGAAAAAATAGTCTGTTTTCAAATATATCACGCTGGTTCAACTTTGTTCACTACTCATTTTTAAAGAAGAATTATTTCTTACTCGTATCTATATTTTCTAGTTTCCTTACTGATCTATTTTCATTGTTGTACCGTTTTATAAAAAAGGAAACTAACATATTTTGTTGTGATAAGTGTAAAAATACTACAGCTAATCAACATATACACGTTCATATCAAAACCAGGTGTAAATAAACCTTACGATGACCCAGAGGCGTTCGAATCTCGTAAGGCACAAAAAGAAATCTATGAGTCTGGTATAGCACTATTCAATCAGAACCAAACACTTCGTTGTTTAAGATTGCTTCAGGAAAATGGATTGGTTGGGGAATCAGTTGAATCAGTGGCACAGTTCCTTTTAATTGAAGAACGTCTATCCAAATCACGCGTTGGCGATTTTCTGGGTGAAAATGAACCGTATAACTTACGTGTTATGTATGCTTATGTTGATCAATTTGACTTCACTGACAAGAGTTTCGTTCCAGCTATGAGGTGAGATTTATTCTTATTGACTACTTCATATTGTGTGCATCTATTAATCTATCCTTTAAGCAATACCTTATTCATTATAAAGTTCTAAGATTAAGCTTCACTTATTTCATCCTTGGTAACACTCTTACATTAGGTGTAGCCTACTGCCACTACGTAGTTTTTGAGTCACATTTGCCAATAACAAAAGCAATATTTTTTACTGTTGTTACCTACCCTTGTTGTCTTAATTTGTGTATTTGTCACATGAGTTCCAATGACTTTGGCGAACCCTGTTTAACTTCGCCTGTACATATATATTTCAAGCCATGTTTTGTGTGGAAGGGGAAAGTTACTAATGAATATTATTTGCTACCTGCTGATCAAATACAACCATCTTTTTTCTTAACCATTCTAAGACGTAGCACCTATTCTCAAAGTTACTCACTGTTAGCTTCAGCTTTGTATGGGATGCGAACTGTCGTATGGGGAGGTTTCATGATCTAAGTTGTTTAGAAGTCTGAATGATCCGTTCCAGCGTCGATCAGGAAGGATGAAACAAGCCTTTGCCTTTTATACACTTCATATATCTAAGTTGTTTGAAAATACTGGATAGTGAGGCGGCTGTTAATGAGTATTTTAAGTGTAAAGAAAGTTTCAAGATTACAAAACTAACAAGAATTTGAAATTTTCTATTGATTTGTCATAACAGTTATTCGACAGAACAAGGATAGTTCAAGGGTATCAACTAACGTTCACAGACCATAAAAAGAGTAGTCAATTATCTATGTGTTGCTGTCATCATAGTCTAGTAGATTATGTTTTCTTGAAATCAGGCTATCACTTACAATATTTATGTAAATGTTAATGTGTACTTTATGATACTTTGTAACTTCATTTTAATTTACCTATTTGAATTTCCTGGTTGTCAATTGTCACTGACTCTCCGGACTGTAATGAATATACTTTCAAAGTTAGTTCTTGTAGAATTACTCATTATATAACTAGTGGTTTTGTTATATTATAGGTTAGAATTCAAAGTCAGCATTAAACTGATGGACACTGCTTCGACAATCTTATATATGCTTAAACATGTAGAAGATCATCATTTTGGCTACTAGGCCGATAACCCTGTGGCCTCTGGGTCGAATCCTACCTCAGTTCGAATTTTCATTTCACCTTCAATCATCACCCAGTATCATATAAAAGATCATTTGAAATGTCTGGGTTCTTGTAGTGGCCTTCTATTCTTCCTTCCTAAAAGAAGCATTATTTATTGCGTGTTCAGTAGCAACCAGCTTCTTCTACACTTCGTGAAGTTATTATTGTAAACATTTTCGTATACAATCAAAGAGGAGTACACAAGAGGATTTTTGGCTGACCACAGATTGTTAATGTAGCTAATAATTGTTGTCTTAGTACTTTTAACAACTAGAAATGATATACCTCTGTGATTATCACTGTGATTAAAACGAAACGAAACGCACTTAGCCATCTTGTACACATTCGATGAGCCATACGTATTGTGTAAGGGCTAGTGATACCACCTGGTTGCCCACACCTCAGTAGATCGAGCGGGGTTCGAACCCGTGACCCAATGTGTGTTTATCTGAGATACGTATATTTATTTGTCTTTATGTGAGGAAGACATCTTTGTAAGACCAAGTCACCGTACTAATTAGTAATCTATTCGCATTATTTAGGTGCATAAGAAGGTTGAACTTACAACCTCACTTCAGTGCACAATAAGGTTAGTGATTTCATTCCCATGTATATGATGCTCATCAATTTAATTGTGGTATGAAGTACCCTATTTAAAAAATTCATTTAGGGTATTTAGTCACATGATCGTTATAAATTTAATTGCACAGATTCAGAATGGTTGCTTATCTTTCTGCTGACATCAAAAAAGTAGCACAGAATAACAACAAAAGGCGTCATTTGTTATTATTATCATTATTCTTGTCATCATCATTGCTGTTGTTCAGTTTACCAAGGACAACGTTCACTGAGGTGCGTAGTTTTAACTAGAGAATTTCTATCTAATTACAATTTTCAATGTTACAATCAGTGCATCACTTATTCGAAACTAACCGTCATCTGCAGATATCTTCCTTTCTCGCTAAATAGTTTTGGTTTGGAATAATTTTAAAGGTTAACCTACTTGAACATTCGGAATTCAATTTTCGAAAAGATTATAGTTACCTATCTCTAATGAGACTTGGAGTAGACTAAATTGTCAAGAACGTTTGGATCTTAAGTGGTTGTTGAACGGGTAACTAATTGTGATGAAAGGTTTTGATGATGTCCACTATGATTTTTGAGATCTTACAGAGGGCCTCAAGTTCACAAAATTCTTCACAACTAATCAGCATAATTCGAAGTTTTGAGGAAAGACATATGATCACACGTGCAAAATCAATAGAGAATACTCCTCTAGAAGGGGGTGAAAAAATCCAAGGTTATTGTAAATGTACCTAAACCGTTGTATTTGGTACATATTTAAACACTGCAATAAACCCGCTGTCTTACCGCATTTTATGTTTTATGAGAAATCGAGTAACCATCACAGGTGGAATTTAGAAGGTTATTGTTCAACTGTCCTCACGTATGTATCAGGTTATATCAAAAGCGCTTCTCACTTTCTGAGAAATCTACAAGTGATAAAAATAAAATATCATTCCATTTTGATTGAAAGGGAATTCTTGTCGGATTTCGTCTACCTGGAGAAGCACAAAAAATTGATCGAATTATGGAAAAATTCGCCGCGCGTTACTATGCTTGCAATTCAACCAATGATTTATTTGTTTCAGCAGATACCGCTTATGTCTTGGCTTTTTCAATTATTATGCTGACGACAGATTTACATAGTTCTCAAATTAAAGCACACCATCGTATGAGTAAGGTAAGCTTTTCCTTGAGTAATTTTTCATAAGCATTTTGATGCCTCTTGTTTGGTTATTTGAGTATAATGGTACAATTGAGCATTTACATCCAACCTACATACAAAGACTGTGGATGAACTTTTCAAGTTTTCGGTATTTCGCACAGCTGATACAACGTACCCTTTACCCTGTAAATATTCCCATAAACATCATAAATTCAGCTGTTAGGAACTTCAAAATGCTTCTAAGTACCATCACATAATTAACTGACAAGGGATAATTCAACGAAGAAAATTTTCTTTCAACGAATCATCTTTAGAAGCTGTACATCCATACTTAATTATTAGTTACAACAAAAATATATCTCCATCAGTGGCTAAATGGCCCAGCACAAGGTCATCAAAAATTGTCAATAGAGTCACGTGGTGATTATGGCCAGAAAGCCAACATAAGTTAGTGGCTGAAGTTTCAATATAAGGTGATTACGTATTAATCTATGAAGTAGTAGGACAGAAATGAGAAGTGGAAAAGTCCTATTGAAATCACTAGTTACGGAGTAGAAAAAGTGATGGAAATAAAAAATCTTGATCAATAAAATAAATAAAACGTGTTAGTTATTGGGGGTATCTCTTTTGAACGCAAAGATCAGGCGTGACTGAACTGATGAATTGTCAAGGCTTTTGCTGTGGTCAGGTTGCACAACTAAACTCTCTTCAAAATGTTTCATTTAACTTCTTAAATGGTTTTGAAGAAAGGTTCTGGTGGAGTTAACCAGGATGCTCAAGAACCTAGCTTTTAATCGCGTTGCAGTCTCCTTTCGATAACCATGCAGAATACTGTTTTCGGAAATGTATTTGGATAAAACATGCTTTGTGCACCCTATATAGCCACCTCCACAACTGCAGGTGAATTAATGCATCTAAATCAATGAATCTGGCCCATTTTCCAGAAACCTTCCAAAAAACTGGGTGCAGATGATATAACCCTTCTGAGCCATTGCACCGACAACCGCCAGTCTTCAAATATTTTTCGTCATCAATATCAACATAGGACCAGACATTTCTGCATAACGGTCTAAGTTGCCACACCACATGTTGGTACATCAAGCGAAAATGAAAAACCAAGAAATAAAGTAGAAACCAGTCAAAGTGATAGAAAGTCATCAAGAAGACAAGAAACAATGAGAGAATACTGAAATTCAGTTTGATGATAATGATCAGGATAATGTGTGGATGCCACGAAAGTCGGTTTTGACTCAGATCACCTACAGTCTCTAATCAACGATTTCGGTTATCACGTGGACTTCGGTGAAGGTAGTCTACATTTCCCCACAGGGACCGGACCAACAGTCAAAGACTACGTGAACTGATGCCATTTTTTGGTCTGGCGGCACCCAACATTTTCCCAGTATTAACCTACTACAGTTAACTTTGTGCAACGAGGCAGATGGTGACTACAAATGTGTAACACATGTCCCAGCTATTTGAGTCGATGAAGGTTTGTAATCGCATCAACTGACTTTCCGTTCCTCCCAAAATCCCTACACCTGACTTCTGGATTGTGATGTGGTGACACCATGACATACGACACGCCTTTTGTTACGAAGGCAGAGGTAGTTGAATTCCTGAACCCTCATGTCCTCTACCTTTGATGGGGATGTTCGCAGCTACACAGTAGAACATAGTGAACTGCAGCTAAGTACACTGAACGCTTTAACAGACAACCTAATATTATAGCGATGTCATAAGTGGCATAATTTAGTGGGCTTTTTGTATCCGTGGAGTGATTTCATCAGTCACTGACCGACGCACTAGGACTGATTTGACTTCCTAATTAAGTGAAGTGCTTAATACATTCAGCCATTTCACCTCCTATTGCAAAGCAAGGGACCAGTAAAGATCAATCCTGTAGCAACGGTTAGTATTTGGGTGGTGAGAGGAGCATCCGAAACATTCTCAGATTGTCACTCGAGGTGTCCAAAAGCCTCTGTATATTTTCAATGTCTTTTCCTAACAGGACTATGTCATCTGCTTATTCTAGATCTACTAAGGATTCTCCTATGATTTGTTCCCATGTAGTCAGACAGTGAGGGGCGGCCTTCATAAGAACGTTTATGACAAAATTGAGTAGGATTGGCCAGAGTGGGTATCCTTGATGGACGCCACTTGACGTACACAGCTTACCTGTTAGCTCACCACAAGCTGTAACACGCCCACGACTATTCGAGCGAAGAACCTTCAACAAGATGATATACTTATTCGGTACTCCTTTCTGTGAGAGACACTACCATAGGGCTTTTCAACGATAGAGTTGAACACCACCGCCTGCAGGTCGGGAAATACGGCTAGTTTCGGATGTCAGTAAGTGTGCTTGTGTTCCAGAACCTGGTGGAGTGTAGAAGTGTTCAATATACATTTCGTATCCGTCAAATGTATGTTGTCTCAAGGCTAGTTTGAACTGAAATTAGTCTAAAAGTGAGAGTGGTATTTTGCGGTACTTTTAATAAGTCTTTTGTGTATGTATTTCCGTTGGTCTTAAGTTGCCGATGTCATATGAAATATAGGTACTTATGGTTATATGTGACAGATAATGTTTATTTAATCTAAGAAGCAAACATTGTAACTTAGTCGTTTTGCCGTCTCTTCAATATTGTGTAGTGCCATTAAGTGTATAATCCATAGTGAGGTATAAAATAAAGATTTTAAGGGAAGAAAATTTTACTTCTACAATGCACTTTACGAAAGATACAAAAAAAATCTGTTTTTATCAACCTTTCTCTCTCTCTCTTTCTATGTAAACGATTGTACAGCTTTTGGAAATGTCATGAAGATAAGTTTTCTTCGCTGAGATTTTTGTTCGATATCTCTATTATATTGTTATATAATATAAAGTCAGTATCATCGTAGCGTTAGGTGTTTGTTCATCGCCATCGATTCCTATTCGTATCTATTTACCTTCCTTTATATATTTTTTAGGAGGATTATATACGTATGAATCGTGGTATTAATGATAGTCAAGATTTGCCCGAATCTTATTTAGCTCAAATTTATGACGAGATTGCAAATGCTGGATTAAAACTAAAGACGGAAGACAATGTGACTAAACTCAGCCAAGGTGCTACATCGAATGAACTCAGTCCTAAACTGGATGGTCGACGGCAAGCAGGAGATGGTGAAGTTTTGGGGGATTCTGTAAGTACTAATGTTTTTTCCGTCATTGTTTAATCAGTGATTATCTTTATAAAAAATATAAACTACGTGGTCAATCTTTCAATCTAGAAAAGACTACTACTATTCCTTTCAAATGTCTATTACATCCTTAGTTTCGTCTATTGGTTAACTACTTGATAATGATATAAACTGAATATATAATCATTTTGTAAACATGCTTTGTGAGGTTAATACTAAGTCTTGTGCTTTCTTTGCTAAGGACTCTTTTCCAAGTAGTGGTGATGCAATGACTTGATACACCTGGACGGTGTTCCTTGTTAGCGTAAGAAGTTTCCTGTCACCTAGTAGGTCTTGAGTTGTAACCTAGCTCTCCTAAACTGAATCTCAGTTAGCGGACACAATCAAAACCCTTCACATAATAAGTGTAGCACATCGTGTAGTACATTACCACCGGGTTGATTTTCAGTCTCAGCGTCTTTGATCTTAGATTATTTAGTGATACCAATCAAAAACCAAGACACAAACTATAGCGATAACCATCTAAAGCTGAAAAGTTTTTTTCTCGTTAGAGTTAAATTAACCTAACCCAAAGATCTATAGACAAGCTACTAGAAACTTTGTAGTGTTCTAATGATATTATCATCCATCTCATACATCTTTCCGTCTCAGTCAACGCTATTCCCTGACGTTTAGATAGTGTTTTTAGACTGCTAGTCTCAACCGAAGAAAGTAGAAGAAAGAAGGTAGAAGACAGACTTCGATCACAAGAATGCTAAAGTCAGTATGCTCAAGCTCACTAAATAACTGTTCATCTATCGCATCGACATGCATACCTTCAGTCAAAATCACGTGCTACGCTACTGACTTTTTGAAAATGCACATAATATTTAAAGTCCTTATTTTGTCGCGCTCAGTTTAAAAACTCATTAGGTAGATCCTTAAATCTTCTATTTTGATTGGGTGTACTTTCAACTTCTACTTTCCAAACAAAAACTCTCTGTAGACACCTTTGAAAGATAATTTAAGCCCAGTTTAATACCCAAACCTTGTACTTAAGGCTCGAAAGTTAGGTTTAATGAAACACACAACTTTTCTATTTAGTATACGTACCTATGACGATATTTTCGAAACAGAAAGCAAAATCTGATCCATAGTTGCAACGTTTATCCAAATGTAAATGATTGGGTAGATACTTGATTCACTTCATAGCTAAATCGCTTTGAAAAGTGCCAATCTGGCAGTCATTTAATGTCAATATGGGATCTGGCATTACTCCATAATAGTTCAAATTGCCGTACTTCAAGATATAACAAAGATGATGAAATTTGAAGCAATAAAAGTATGCTGTAACTCAGTGTGTTGCATGTTTATTTACTAGTTTATGAGCCATACCTGTTATGTCATACTGATTGATTACTCAGACCAAAGTTGGTGGAATGGGACTTCGATACAATGTGATGATACAACGGTTAAGGTGAGGATAAAATATAGATACATCTTCACTACTGATATCATCAAAAGTCTTCAACCATCAGTTTTGATTGCTAAGTGGAACCTAAGCAGGAAGTCTGCATTTCCTTCCACAACTCAGAAACTAATAATACATGCAAACTTATTTGAAAGTTGAGTTTTTAAGCCAGAAAACCACAGCCCTACTTTCTCATTACTTATCCACGCAGTGGTCAAACTTCATGGCTTATAATGAGTATCAGTATACCTTCAAGTGATCATCACGAGTGGAGATTGAATCATCTTATTCGATAAAAAACACGAATTTTAACATAAGTATAGATACATAACTATAAACATTTCGTCATTTCCTCTCTAATCTGTCGCTTTCACCCTTATATTCATCTCCTAATACCAATGGTTTAAATTGTGGCTCACAATCCTCTTACTATAGACAAAATATACTCATCTGTTCATCAATAAACGACAAAAAAATCTAATGACTTCGGTTAAAATCCTATTTCGACTTTCTGAATATATGGCATGCTTAAATGTGTGTGTGTATGTTTGACTGAATCTATATTTATACTGGGTGATGATTGAAGGTGAGATAAAAATCCGGCTGCGGTCCAGATTTCCATCTCACCTTCAATCATCACCCAGTATAAATATAGATTCAGCCAAACCACGGCTATCTCAGATAGTCAAATGTTATTCTATATTCACACGATGATAAAAAAATTTTTTTCTAAAAATTTCAGCCTGAAGGTCATGAGACATTAAATCAGTGCTTATTGTAGCTAATGTTGAACATTGAAGTTATCGAAATATGTCTTTTGATGTGTGGAAGAGTAGTATAAGTGTAATGAGTATAAAGATAGATAAATTGACACATGAAAACTTGGCTTTTGGATCAATAATTATTTCATCGAAGTTTTTATTTATCTCCAATGAATTACAACTATTTTTGAGATGAATGGAGATTTTTAATTTGGACGTAGTATTCATCATGGATTAACATCAGTTAGGGGACCATTGAAAGTCTGAAACCTGAAGGTCCCGGGTTCGATCCCTAGCCGGGTCGTGGGTGTGTACTGCTGAGGAGTCCCATACTAGGACGAAACAGCTGTCCAGTGCTCCCAGATTTCTAATGGTTCCCTAACTGATGTCAGTCCATGATGAATACTACATCTAAATTACAACTATTATCAATTTTGAACCCTCGAAAAAATGATTCCCTTGACAAAATTCATTAGAAAGCGCACCATATTTTCAACCCTTAACCTATAGACAGTATCAGGCCTTAACGATTTCCGTCACCTTAATTTGAAGGTAAGAACAGTTGTTTGCGGTATCCACTGGGAATTCAAGAAAGCACAAATTTAGAAAATCCTCTTCAAATGGTGTCCAATTTATTCTTCACAGTACGAATTGTTATTTGGGGAAAAGTTAATAGCAAGTTGAAGATATTAAAGTATAGCTGCTGAGTATAAGCATTATGCCCCTGATGATATCAGGGAATTTTGAAGTATCTCATGAACTATTCAGAGTTCGAAACATACCAATAACCCCAATCGAGGTGTAGAGTAGCCTTAATCCTTATCCCGCATATATGTGATCTGTAGATATCAGGTTCAATATTGAAAAGATCATACACTAAGATAAAAACTATTTCATACTGCCTAGGGTTTCGTGACAACTGATTCCTACTACCTCAGAGAATTCAGTTAGGAAAACGACACTTCTGTAATTAACTCGAACTAACAGCCTGTCTTCGGGAATTGATGTAATATTTGGCAATCTGAAGATATTTCTTGCCTAATTATACTGTAGCCAACCCTGTACGTCAAGGAAGAGGATCTTTCAGTTCGCATAGCACATATTTGTCTGGTAATTATATGGATTCTTCATGAGTGTTGTTAGCTCCACAAGCTGCCGAATAGAGAGATCGTCTAGTATATATATACTCAAACCCAATATATGTTAACCGAATATGCCTTGTCACATTAGATTTTGTTTATGATGAGGCGAAAACCATGACCGTATGTCTTGATTGAAATAATACAGAATTGGTTTGTCAAGAGAGTCTGTACATTATCAGATTACAGTGTCATCCACTAAAGTATTAAACATAATACACTTGTGGTAATCACATTCTAAAGTATGTATACTGTGATGACTATGTTATGAGTTGTATCAAAAGCAACTAGATTTAGAAATCTTTGTGTATTAGCTTATTCGTTGATCAGTTTATCTTTTGTATCGGTGGTGTCTTTACTGCGAAGTACTAATGCATGAATACATGATAACTCATTAATAAGTCTTTTTGTAACTTTTACCATTTCATATTCCAGGTTACATCTGGTTCATCTGAGTTTACTTGTGCGACACATTGTGAACATGTTCGACCAATGTTTAAATTGGCGTGGACCCCTTTCTTGGCTGCATTCAGTGTTGGATTGCAGGTGAGTACTTGGGGATTCATCGTACAATAATAGTTCCTTGTGCTCTTTTAATATTGGTTATTTTTTCCATCTCCCTTATATAACTATATGACTAATCACCTTGTAAATAAAATGCTTATGTATGCTAATTTTCATGCAATTAAACGCGTGCTCAGTATCTCGGTGAAAATCTCAGAAACAGAAAAGAAGGTTGCGATGAATGAATCATTGTTTTTAACTAGTTCCACTTTGTAACATGTGGGAGATAGGTGGTTATGTCACACAAATTTGATTTGAAATTACAAGGGCAGTGGTTGAAATAAATGAAAAAGGTACAGATTGCTTACATGCTGCACATAAAATAGTGTTTAATCTGTAGGAGACCAGTTGTGTTACGCGGTGCCTATTCAGTGTTATATAGCTCTTATATGAAACTCTAGGACCAATCCAGTCTGCCTTTCACCTACATGTAAGCATAAATTACAAAGGACCAATAAGAAGATACATTTAAATAGTCATAAAACGCTCAAAAGAACAATATATTTATTGGTATACAGATGGGAATACTTTTGGAGGAAACTTTGCAGCGTATTTGGCTGTGTGGCTGTACTATGGATTCTTAAGATCAGTACAAAACAGACATAAAATAGTGGTCATCCATGACTGGGTGTTCATGCGCTAAGACAAATCTTAGAAGACTAAAAGCATCCTTAGACGCCTTGGTAGATTATTTAGCTATTATTTAGATATTCTATTAACTAATTAATGATTTGTTGTAAACGTAGTGGTATTGTGCTGTCATGAAGATGCACTACAAGCCATTGGAATCACGAGGTCATGTAACGCGTGACTAGATAAATATATATGTTGTACATATATATGTTTATTCGTACTGGAATAAAACGGATAAATGTTTTATTAGAACTATGTCGAATGTAAAATTTAATCAGTGGAATGAAATTTTTTATGCATTGAACAACAATTTTCATGCATTCAGTTATCGTGATACTCTTGAATAAAGCAGGAACGAAGTAATTTACTGAACAACGTCAGATCATTATCTGCAATCCATCTTAACACTGGTAGGGATCAATGAAGGTAACATACTTTAAATATTTGGAAGGTGGTAGAAGGTCCTCAGTCCAGGAGTAACAAGAGAATTGTGATTAGAGAAAAACAGGAAATATGAGAATTCATCTGTCTTGATGATATGTGAATTCGAAAAACTCATTTCACTGACTGCATCTTAAATCTACTGTTGCTTCCATACAGCATACTCGGTTGGTGAGTAAATAGACACGTTAGATATAGCTTCCCAGGCATTTTTAGCATTAATTTGATTGCTGAGGCTATTGGTACTTATAATAACTCATTTATAACTTTAACTAAAGTCCCCATAGTCGGTAATATTTATGAAGCGATAGTCTTTTGAAAACTTAAGGTACCAAAATATCATAAAGAGGAGTTCCAAAGGATCAGAAATTGCGTGGTTTCTTCATAGTTGTATAATATTCAAAGATTATCCAAACACTGCAGTCCATTTTCATGAATGACACTTGATTTACCATCAGTTCTTCATTTGAAAAATAAACAAATATTTTCAAAACAAAAATGCCATCCAAACAATTTATGTTTTTCTTACCTGAACTGTTTTCTGTCCTGTTAGGTGAGGACAGTGACAATATGCAGGGTCTTTCGAAAGCGTTGAACAGAAATCTGAGTATATATTTGGCATGCATTTCGAACCTATCAAATGTAAGACGATGCTCCAGGAATTGGTCTGCTACAAGTACTCCCAGTTTAATGATAGGGAGTGAAGTGGTGGAATGTGTCGACCACCTCACTTGCTTTGGGAATTTGCATCAACCAAAACGGGTTGGTTGCTGATCCAATCTCAGCTTGGGCACAGAAGGCCTCTTCAGCATTTCCTAACTTGCGTCATCTGTACCACCTACTGACAACATGACCGAATATCTATCAAAGAACGAGTATACTACACTGCAGAACGCTCTTCCTGTTGTACGAATGTGAGACATGATCGTAGAAGTAGAAGATATGAAACAATTACAGGGTTTCGATCATAGGTGTCTTCGTAGTATTGCTCACGTTTGTTGGAATCACCGTGTGACTAATATTGAGGCCGGGTGAAGGGTACTAGGCAAGACAAGCAAGTCGACAGATGGGGTTGTGAACCTTAGTCGACTGAGATGAGTTGAACATGTACTGCGCATGCTGAGTCACCACTTACCTCGACGCGTTATGCTGGGGACGATTGGATTGGGTTGCAATAGGATTCAGGGTGGCCAGATCAAGATATGATACCAGTCAATGAAGTCCCTGACTGTTGGTTTGAGTCGCGTGGGGAGATATAGACAGCATGGTTGGGGTCATCGAGACTGTAGGAATCAGTGGTAGATAACTCTTGACGACATGGCTGGAAGTCAATCACAAGGATGCAGATGTATTCACTCCTTGATATCTTCTAAAACTTGAGTATTCGCACTATCCGTTATCTTCAGATTGCTTACTCTCTCATACTACTTTGTCTAGTTTGATATAACTCTTATTCTATCCACCTGTTATTTGTGTACTACTTTGAAGTGTGGCAACTTGAGCCGATATACTTGTGTACGAGGTCCTACATTGCTTATGTCTGTCTGTCTGTTTATTGTGATTTATGCTGAAATTGAAATTGTAAGCTTACATTTATTATTACGCACTCACCAACTAATCAGTATAGTTCATAAATATTTGTCACCAACTGACGTATCAATCCGACTACTAATTATATATCATAGGTGTTGGATCTTCACATTCCATACTGCTCTTGATTATCACTTCACCAAGTAGAATACTCTTTGCTCAAGCGTAAAAATGTGACTTTTATCTCTCATCCTTTTCAACTATGCGATGTCATTGATGTTGTAAGGCGATAAAAGAAACATATTGATAATGGCTGCCACTTCCAATCGAGTTGTGCTATTACTGGATTAGTGTTGTATTTTTAAAGGAGAAATCCCTTTATGTGCATCTATAATATGGCATTATGACTACTGTATATTCTAGTTCGTGTTATAATCTTTCGATCCTGAGTGTCACAGTATGTACATGTGTGAGCGTGTGGTTTGTATGTACGTGCATGCGTGTTTGTATGTCTATTTGGATTTTTTTCTGTTCTGATCTGTCAGCGTTAAGTTATTATTATTATTATTCCGATATGTTCGAATAAATTGAGTGAAAAGCTATAATCATAAAATATAAATCAATATTCAATTATTCAACGGTTAGTCCTTTTGCTTTATTTAACTCCGCAACTCTGCAACCACAAAAAGTAATATATCGCGGAATATGTTTCTTTAGTAGTTATTGATTTTCTAAAACGCAGCCACATGATGTATGCTATTATTATTATTATCATTACCATATTTAGGTCTCTGATTAAATTGGTGATATTTCTGACAAACAGAAAATAACGAAAAGTAAATACAATCTCTGATTTTGTTCGAATGCTATAGTCACGATCATCGAGTGGATTAAATTATTTTTTTGCTGACTGTCCAATGCTTGTCAATGAATGGTAACGTGCTGTCCACGAAACCCGAAGGTCCTAGGTTCGAACCCTGGTGAGGTCATCGGTGCGCACTGCCGAGGAGTCCCATACTAGGACGAGACAGCTGTCCAGTGCCCCCAGGCTCCCAATATTCCTTCACCTGATGTGACTCCACGATGAATTCCAACCTAAGATGAATTTAAAAGCTTAACTCACTGTCTCTTACTGATGAAAACGATCTCATTATCTAAACGCGAGGGAGATTTGGTGGTTCTATATATGACGTGGTCGAAACTGTAGTTCCTCCACTGTGAATAACAACACTGCAATATTTCTGTTGTTGTATGAAGTCTTAGTCAAGCAGTTTAAGAGTTGGGTTATGAGTCACATGGGGCTACTTGTTGAAAGCTGCTTCAGTTTAAATGCTAGTCTTCACATAATTTTACCATAGAGCTTGGTTATTGAATCAGAAATCCACATACGTATAGCAAGGGGAAACTGACTTTTTGTTTGACTTTTTAGTATCTTTTTTTTCATAACTCACTAGCTGATACAATTTGGATGTTCGTGGGGAATTAGTTGATTACAAAGTATTCATAGCGCATCTAGATAAACTGGAAAAGCATGCAAAAGTGCTAGTCGTGCAGATTTGTTTGATGTTTAAAAATGGGGATAATATTTGTCATTTTCAGCAATAATTGCTCTACTATACCAAGACAAGGAATCAACAAATACTCTAATAACTTAACTAACAACAACCACCGACCACATCTAATACCTCTGAAAAACGTAGAAAAAGTCATGAACTACGTCTTAACTGCAGCTTGAACTGCCTTGACAAAAGCTAGTTATGAAATTCACACATAAATACATGACTTTTGACATTTTCTATAGAAAGAATGTTGGGTTATTGAAAATGACATTGAGCTCCACCCCTAGAGAAGCAACACTATGTGGTGCAAGAAATCTGATGGACAAATGCAAATGTTTCAGCATTATCAACATAGGACTAAGCATCACTGCCTAACGGTTCAAGTTGCCACACCTCATATCAGCCCATCAAGTAACAAGGCAATAAAATGGAGGATGAAGGAAGAAAAATCGGTCAAAAGAAGTAGGAGCAGGAAGTAACAAAAGGGAAGAGAGAACGAGAAGTTAATAAGACTACTTATAGGGGTTAATGTAAGGATAATGTATATATACATCTGCGCCACTAACATCCGTTCTGAGCCATATCACCTAAAGTCTCCGACCACCGGTTTCTCTTGTCCCATGGACACTAACTGGCTAGTGTGCGTCGCTTTACATGGCTCAAACCAACAGTCAAGAACTTCATGCATTGATGGCATGTTTTAGTCTGGCAGTCCCGAACTTTTTTCCACCGTGAACCAACTTCGGCCAACATTGTGCTACGAGGCATCTTAGTCGATGAAGGTTCACAACACCATCAACTGACTTACCTCTCCGGCCA